GATAGAACCTCAAGAAGAAATAGATCTACAATTATATTTGGAGGTTTTAATACCTTCCTCTCAATAACTGATAGAACAAGTAAACAGAAAATAAAAAATAATAGGAGACCTGAAAACACAATAAATCAATTTGAACTAATAAACATTTACAGACTATTCCACCAAACAGTAGCAGGAGACACATTCTTTGCAAATGCACATGAAACTCTTACAAAACGGACTATATAGTGGGCCATAAAACAAGTATGAACAAATTTGAAAAAATTAAAGTCATATAAAATATGTTTTCTGAACACTACAGAATATAGAAACAGAAAAATTTTGGAAAATCCCTAAATAATTGGAAACTAAATACAATCCTTTGAAGTAATCCATGGGTCAAAGAAAAACTCAAAAGTAGAAAATGTTTTGAAGTGAATGAAAGTGAATAGACAAGGAGCAAACATACCAGTCAACTTATCCAGCATTCAATGCTTTGGAGCTGCTACCTGCGTCAGATATTTCTTGGGACCATGAGCCATGGCTGCACTAGGCATGGAAAGAGGCCAGGCTTTCTATTTACTTTTTTTTTTTTTTTTTTAGAAATTGACAAGGGGACTATAAAATTCACATGGAAATACAAAGAACGTAGATTAGCCAAAACAACTTTGAAAAAGAATTCTGATAAATCCATAGTAATCCAAACAGTATGGTAGAGGCACAAAGATAGACATGTAGATCAAAACTGAATGGAGTCCAGAATTAGATGCACATATATATGGAAAAGAGACTTTTTTTTTAATGATGATGCAAAGTCAATTCAATGAAGGAAGGACAGTCTTTTTCAACAAATGGTACTGGAACAATTGGATATCCGTATGCCAAAAAAATTCATTCAATACCTTGTACCATATACCAACATTAACTCAAAAATCTTCAAAGCTGATCAAAGAATTGAATGTACAACCAAAAATTATGAAACTTAAATGGAAGAAAATCTTTGCAACCTTGGGTCAAGATACAACTGCAGAAGCATGCTACATAAGATAAAAAATTAGTATGTTGGACTTCACAAAAATTGAAAACATTTGTTCTTCAAAAGACACAATAAAAAAATGAAAAGACAAGCCACAAACCGGGGGTAAATATTTGCAAAGCATTTATCAGAAAAAGGACTTATATCCGGAATGTATATAGAACTCTCAAAACTTAATAATAAGAAAAACAACAATCCAACTTAAAAACTGGGCAAACAATTTAAAAGGACATTTCACCAATGAAAATAGATATATGGATGGCAAATAAGCACATGAAAAGATGTTCAAAACACTACTCGTTAGATAAAGGCAAGTTAAAACTACAATGAGATACTGCTATGCAGCTACTAAAATGACTAAAAAAGACTAACAATAAAAAGTATGTGGAGAAACTAGAACTCTTACACAATGCTGATGGGAATATAAAGGGATACAATCAATCCAGGAAAAAGTCTGATAGTTTTTGGTAAACATATACCTACGCCCAAGTTGCCCAAAGAACTGAATTTCCATCAACGGGAAATGAGAAGGCTACAGAATAAGCAAATTTTAAAGCAAAGATTGCAAATTTTCCCTCAAAAAAATAAGTTTTTAAAACGTTGAGTTTGAAATGTCTTAGATATTCAAGTAGAGGCATCAACTAGGAAACTGGATATATAAGTCTACAGTTCAGGAAAGAAGTCTTGGATGATACAAATTTAGGAGTCTTCTGCATTTAAAAGGAATATTTAGTCAGCTGTGCCTGCCTAAATCAAGCAGATAGTGCTCAATAAAAATTAGTGGAAGAAATCAAAGTTCTAAGTACTTTATTAACTTGTTTCATCCTAACAAAAACCTTATAAAGTAGGAACTGTTATCCACATTTTATAGATGAATTAACTGAGGCATAAAGGTTAGTAATTGGCCCAAGGTCGCATGGCTAGGAGCTATATTTGGGTTTTATAGTAAAAGTTAATAGCTATTAGAAACAAACAAAGATGGGGCCGGCCCGGTGGCGCACTTGGTAGAGGGCGGTGCTCCCGCCGAGGGTTCGGATCCCATATAGAGACCAGTCCGCTCACTGGTTGAGTGCGATCCCGTTGCCGGTCACGGTATGGGTGCGACACCGAGGGTTGCGATCCCGTTACCGGTCACGAAAAAATACAAAAAGGAAAAAAAAAAAAAAAAAAAAGAAACAAACAAAGATAACATGAAGTTATTGGTGATATTGTCCCTAGTTGGAAAAAAAACATTAGAGTCACACATCCCCAGACTATTAACTAAAAAAATAAAATAGAAAAGGATTAAATAAATCTGGAAAAAAAAAAAAATTCCCCAAATCCATAATTGACAGTAGTGACTTCCCTTAAATTTTATACATATTAAAATAAATGTAATTTATAAGTTAAAGATATTAAAATCTATGCTACCTACCTACTATATTTATGTCATTTTAAAACTTCTAGAAGAAAAACCAGTTTTAAGCTGGTACCTCAGCTAAAGTAGAAACTGAAAGACACAGAAGTTTAATGAAGAAGAAATTAAACTGGGATCGAAACAGCTATAGAAACTATATTACAGTTTAGAGAAGGCAAAAAGAAAGTTCTATATCGGTATTTAGGAAAATGAACTAGTAGGTAAAATATCAGAAGTTCCTAATCTACAAAAGTGTCATTTAAATTTCAAGGAAATATGTTCCCCGAATTTCAATTCTAACCTTCAAAAAAAAAAAAAAAAAAAAGAAAAGAAAACTTGGAAAGGTTAAAACACTACATCAAATGCTATAATGAAGGATATAAAATTGAAGACATAAAAGGCCGTTCTTTGTTATAAAACAATTGCTATATTGATAATGCCTCATTCAGGCATAATGGAAGACTAAGACAGAACTTTTTAGAGGTTTTTCATAAAATACTACTACTCTTGCCCACTAATGTTCATTATAAACTATAATAATTAACAAATCTACTTATCCTGACTTACTGCAGATCTTTAACACAGCCCCAACAAATATGTTCAATTTTATTTCAGTTCGCTGCATCTTACTGCATTAAAAATAAAAATAATAGTTGAAGAAATTTTTTCAAAGGCTTTCATCCAGAATTAGTTACAAGCAGACCAATTTTAATCAACTTTTCAAGAAAGAAGGAAACAGACAATAAAACAAAATCAACAATCACATCACATCTCTATGTCCTGTTAAAAGTTTAGAGGGGAGTGGAGGTCTCTATAAACAAAGTGGTTAGTACATCACAAACAAATTGAATTTTCTAATTTTCATTTTCAAAAGCTGAGATAGTCATCTTGACTATATTTGAGGAAGTTAAAGAAACCAATTCATTTTAACAATTACCTGCTTAGAATCCATGAAGGGAACCTAAAGTTTTCCAAAAATTCATTAGGATACAAATAAAGTGCCATAGACTCCAAGAGTTTCACTAACTCATAAGATGAGAAGTTTTCAATGAAACAATGAATAGCAAATACCAAAATCTACCCAGCTGATGCAATTTATTACCAAGACATGAAAATTCTATGTCCAACTTATTCCATTTTGCTCCACTCCTACTACTTTATTTCAGGTCACTATCAACTCTTATCTAAATGATTGCAGTAGTCTCTGAACCTGCCCTCACATGGCCCATCCATCTTCCACACAGTAGCCAGAACCAAGTAGAAAGGTAAAGTTCAAACCTCTAAAAGGGGTTTTCTAAGAACCTTTATGATCTTTTAATTTTTTTTTTTGAAATAACACATACACATTATTTATTGAGCATTATTTGTACAAACAAAAGTTTGGGAGCAATCCACATATCCATCAGTAGGAACTGACTAAATAAACCATTGTATAGCCACACACAGTATTCTAATCAGTAGTGGCTATCCTGAAGATACAGATCTGCATATTCTTGAACACACTCTTTTGGAAACCTTTATTTATTTTTAATTAATTAATTTATTTTTTTACATTCTAAGGTGTTGTGGAGCAGTTAGGGTGGAGGGGAAGACAGGAAGGGAGAGAGAAGGATACGGTGGGAGGATGAGGAAAGGGGAAGTGGGGAGGGGGGCATGGTCGAGGCCTGTGGCAACCCCCTTCATTCCAGCAGAGGAGCCCAGGAGGCTTTCCAGTGGTGGCTCAGTTGTGGCTGCACTGGATGGATTTGGGGGGCGGAGGGCTGGCTAAGGCCCTTGGCCCCCCACCACCCTGGATTGAGAGCCCAGAAAGCTTCCGCCAGCAGCCTGGTGAAAACCTTATGATCTTAACTCTTCATGTTTTCCTGGCTTGCATCCTTCACCACTTCTATATCCACTCCCAGCCAATATACAAACACCAAGAATGTGTGATATCCCATGTACACACACTAGGCTTCAGCCATACTCAGCTATCTACAGTCCCCAAAAGCAACGGCTACCCTTAAAGCCTCTGCACATGCTCCTTCCTCTGACTGGACTGTTCTCCCCAACCCCTATCTTCTTTTTGCTAACTTTGACTCATCCTGAAGTCTCAGTTTAAATGCCATGTCCTTTGTGATACCTTCTTTGTCCAACTCCTTCCCACCAAACCCCATCTGATGACCCATAACACCCTGCATTTAGCCTCCACATAGCAATTCTCACTATGAATCATTGTTTACTTACCTAACTTCTATCCTAATATAAGCTACCTGAGGACAGAGATGGTGTCTTGTTATCATGTCCTCAGCAACTAGATCAACATCTGACCCACAATAAGTATTAAACAAATTTGTTGAATGAATGAATGTACTGTGAAAGGTATCTCATTCAGAGAAGGAACACGGATTTACTTACCTAACTTCTGTCCTAATATAAGCTACCTGAGGACAGAGATGGTGTCTTGTTATCATGTCCTCAGCAACTAGCTCAACATCTGACCCACAATAAGTACTGAACAAATTTGTTGAATGAATGAATGTACTGTGAAAGGTATCTCATTCAGAGAAGGAACACGGCAGTCTGAAAACCTTAATTAAAGAAATAACATACCTGTCTTTCCAACTCTTGTCCTGTTATGCCAGCCTCTACATGAACTGTCAGATTGTTCTCATCAATCCAGAGGATTCGATTCTGTTGCAAAGGAAGAAAAAAGTCTTATCTCCATAAATGACTGACATTTTCTCCTGAAATGTAACTTCCTAATTCAAAGCAACAAGTGACAAGATAGTAATTAAACAACTAGGATTCTCCCTAACCATCCATATTGGAAACCAGCTCCACTTATCCCTGACTATGTAACATGACAGTCATAGTAACAAAGGCACTACACTATGTAGGAGCTGGTTTAAAACACAGACTGTCTTTATTCAGATGTTAATTAGAATCAAATTCTACCACATATCTTAGACAAGTTACTTAACTGTCTAAGCTCAGTGCTTTCTCATTTGTAAAATGTGAATAGTAATGATACACACTTGCAGGGTTGCTGTAAGGATTAAATGAGATGCTGCATGTAAAAAATTTAGCATACACAGGTCCTGGCATTCTACAAATACTATCTGCACTATTGTCAACACAGCAATCACACCATGAGATTAGGAAAAAATGGCCATGAGATTAGGAAAAAAATCACCTGCAAAGACATTTGAGTATAGTAAATGACATCCCTGCTTCATTTTCAATCTAAAATAGGATCAGAGATCCCATGCAGAAAACAAAGCACATCCCCGCCTCAAGCTGAAAAGAAGGAATCGAGTATCATCTGGATCAACTTACTAAATATACTACTACAATAAAAAATGTTTTTTTTAACATTTGACCTAATTTTTATGTTTTGTATATATATATGAACCTTCATGAAATATTTTCTACTATTAAGAGCAAACTATTTTCCCCTCCTACTTGGCTGAACAATCAGATAACATATAAAATCTTTTTCTGGATCCCAGGGAAGCCTTCTTTGTAAAACTAAATTTTCATGTTTCATGGCAATAACTAATGCAGATAAGTCTAGTTAATAATAAAAACCAAAAAACACAATAGAAAATACAAAAATAGCAGTCTCTGCCTAAATTCCAGATTTGAACACATACTAATAACTGCACTGCTTAATTCATAAGGTTATGATAAATATTAAGTTACATGATATATGTGAATTTTTTGTTATATAAAACATTATAATTATAGTCTCACTATAAGACAAGAGTAATTTCAATATAACTATAGTATAATCAGGCTTTTGGTCTTATGGCAGCTAAACAAAAGGAAGTATTAAACTGCAGAGTAAAAAGACAAAGAATTTATTAATCTGATGGCACCTTATACTATAATAACTTATGTACATCTTCGCCCACAACAGACTGGTTCAGGGCAATTAAATAATTGTGCTAAATATATACCTCATACCTACCAAGGGTCCAAACATATTTTTAGTAGAAGAAAAGAAATTAAAGGAGGCAGAGAAGAAAACTACCATTATGGCTACTCAAAAAAAAAAAAAAAAACTTAAAGAAAATATATAGACCACCCTATTACATCCAGTATATACTACCTAACCCAAGTTAACAATAAAACAAAAACAAAAATGTAAAGGCCAATAGGCCTTAGTATTACCATATATATTTTAATAGAAAACCAGCATGACACTAATTCCCAAATTTTCTACATATTATATCAGAAGTACACTGTGCAAAATCATGCATAGACATGACTTACTGACTTCTACAGAAATCAGTTATAAGTACCCCCTATCCATTATAATATCCGAGACAGTCCAAGGTTAAAAGCACTGCATATATAAAGTTTCTCAGCAAAATAAATGGTTAGAAACCTGGCATTTACAATTGTGACACAGAATTTTAAGCATCTGCTCAGTGTCAAGACTTATCTCATTTAATCTTCAAAGTAATGTTCTGAAAGTATTACTGTTTCTACTTTATACATTCAGTAATAGATTTAGTGGTAAATTTGCACATAGTAAGGTTAAAAGACAGAAATTCAAACACATTCCAAAGCCTATTCCAAAACAGGATATTTTTAAACTACCCTCTGAGGAAATTACCTTTTCTTAAACTCTAGCATAAGGAAAGGCTGATGGAAAACTCTACAGTAAAATCATCAGGCAGTCACAATCTGAACTAGCTCATCAATTTTATCATCACTAAAAGAGGACAACCAGGTATTATACATCTCCACTCCTGATGTTACAGGACCTAAAACAGCATACCATCATCTATAAGAAACAGAGGTAGGGAGGGAGGAGGAAAAAAAAGGTATGCCTGAACCTAACTAGAAACTATATCTAACTTCCAGTTTAGAGGACATCCAAGGCCTGGAAATGACACCAAGAAGAAGCAACAGACAAATTCAAAATATGACATTCTATAGTACCAATAACCTAGTTTCTTCAAAAGTCAATAACATTTAAAAAAGGGGGGAGGAAGAGGAGGCTTTTTTAGATAAAGTGAGACTTAAGAGAAACAACCAGAAGCTCACATGAGCCTTGTCTGGATCCCCATTTGAACAAATGAACTGTAAAAAAGACATTTTTGAGATTTTAGAAAATTTAAATTTGAATTAGGTATTAAATGATATAAAGAATTACTTTTGATTTTGCCAGGAGTAAAAACAATACAGTAGTTATATGAGAAAATGTCCATTTTTAAAGAGACACACAAGAATATTTAGGTGTAAAGTAGCAAAATATCAGGATTTTCTTTAAAATATTAGAGGAAAAAAGATAAAGCAAGTATGAAAAGATATTAACAACTATTTAATCTAGGGAATAGGTATATTATTCTACTTTGGTGTTTGGAAAACTTTCAAATTAAAAGGTAAATAAATGTTTTTATTATACTGGAGGAATATGTAACCAGGAATATTGTTGACTATATGAAGATAAAGTTTATACCCAAATTAAAACTTTAACATGATACAATGTCCAACTCTTAGACCACAATGAGCCAAAACTTCAGAAAGTAATCTTATAATTAAAGTAGTTCTTACTATTCATTCCCAAATAAAAATGCAACAGCATTAGTGTAAATTTGGGGGACAAGCAAGTTTAGGTGATTCAAATTAACCTTAACTAATATTATCTGTTGTTTTTTAATAATACAAATCAGGTCATCTAGTGCATCAATATGTTCATTCATGATTCCCAAAGTATCAATTTCACATGCCAGTTTGCTAGAACAGCTATTTCAAATACATCTTAAATTATTATATACCATTTGTGAAGTGTCCAAAGAAATAATTGTTCTTGCCTCATCTGCAGGACACATCAGTCCATACGAAACACTTGTTCCTCCTGCCAAAATAGGAAACAATTTTATGTTTAAATATTTTATTTTTGGCTACATTTCTAGGGCAAATCCTTAATATGGAGTATACAGATAGGCCCACTAGGAGAATGATACCTATTTCTACTTTGTAAAATATAATTTGCAAATGCTAACACACTAAAAGCAAACTCACCTTTATTTTATGCTGTGTGCCAAAATGAAGCAATATTATGGAACTGAAAGCAATGAGATATGGCTCCATCCCCTGGACATGGCATATTCAAGTGAAGCCCCTAGCAATTTGTAGAACTCCAAAAACATGATTAGAAATGTTCTAATCTAATGATTACTGCAAAAAAGTAGCTTAAAAGAAAAATAAAAGACCCATCCTATACAACTAGAGATACCATTACCTCCTTTCTACCATAATTATAAGATCCATTTATTGTTTAAAATATCTTATATTCTCATACAAATAGGCTTTAATAAATTAGAAACAAGTTTAAAATGTCCAGATTATGCAACTTTTAAAAATAAATTTATATGTTCTTTGGTAAAAAAGTGATTTTAATATAGAATAAATAATACGTAGACACTTGAACAATGTACTGCTGTTTTCTCTTAACATTTGCTGTCAAAGGAAAAATGCTTTCCTGATTCCAATAAAGAAATAACACCACGCTCTCAGTTCTTAAGCAGATCTGTATCACCATACATCAGGATAAATTCTTAATTGGTACTTCCATACCTTTTGCACGGAAGAAAACATGTGGAAGTCTTCTTCCACAAGAAGTATAGGGAGTGTTGATCTGTAAGGTTCAGCTTAAGTTTACAAGATGAGACCATGAACTGTCAGTTAAGAACATGATGCCTGTGATCAGTAACTACTATTTGCGTGTCACAGTCACTTAAAAATCAAAAAAATATTTCATAATGAGTGGCACTGTAGTGTCTTTTTTGCATGAATTCAACAGAAAGCATTAGCTGAAGAGGGAATTTGGAGCTTCTGGAATTGTCTGGATACCATTTCCATTCCATCAGTGCCAATTTGGTCAGTGAAGGTAACGTCCTTTGGCTTGTATAAGTTGTTAAAACAATGCAGTCAATAAAAAAATCGAAGAGATGAAATTTGTCTTAAAATGCAAGACAATGTTAGTTTTTTGTACTGAATTATTGATTGGTCATAATTTTAGTGGTTGATCATTTATTTTTTAAGTGACATGTAATAACTGTACATAGTTATGGGATATAGAGAAATATTTTGATACATGTACATACTGTGTGATGATCAAATTAGGGTAATTAGCATATCCATCCCTGCAAACATTTATCATTTCTTTGTGATGAGAACATCTGAATTCCTCTCTTCTAGCCATTTGAGAATATACAATGTTGTTATTAATTATAGATACCTAGCACTACTGTCAAATACTAGAACTTATTCTTCCTATTCTTCCTATCTAGATGTAATTCTGTACAAGTTAACCAATCTCTCCCTAACCCCTTCTCCCCCTCACCCTTCCCAGCCTCTAATAACCACAATTTTACTCTATACTTCTATTACCTCACTTTTTTTTTTTAGCTCCACATATTAGCAGTATTTATCTTTCTGTGTCTGATTTATTCCACTTAACATAACGTCTTCCAGGCTCATCCATGCTGCCACAAATGACATGATTTCATTCTTTTTTTATGGCTGAGTATTCCACTGTGTATGTATGCCACATTTTCTTTATCCATCCACCTGTTGATTCCATCTTGGCTACTATTATAATAGTGCTGCAATAAATATGGGGGTTTGGCATACTGCACAGTACTCTATATGTTTACTCTGCTTCTGAAAGGTTTATACTGGGTATACAGCATTTAAAAAACAAAATTCTCTCTATAAATATACAGGTTAGAAAGTAATTACTAAAAAAGAAACATTTTCTTATTTAGGCATTAAATCACAGATTCATCTAGGATCCAAATGGGAAAAAAGCCATGAATAAGCGTACACCACATTTCAAGCAGTTTAGGTAGACCCACTTAGAACACAAATGAGCACCATAAAACAATTTTTGAGAATAACCACATCATAATTACAAGAATGTTTGTTTTCAATGGGATGACACAAATATTAAACATACAAGTATTTCAAACAAAAAGAACAAATTTACATCATATTAAGATTCAAAAGGCACAATACCTACCACCAATCGGTATGATACAAAGGTTATATTTGCACGCTAGATTCACAATCTTAACTACATCATCATGACATGCTGTTGAAAAAAGGGAAAATAAATTAATCACAGGAAGTGAATAAAATCTGGGTAACCCTGCAAAATAAGGGTTATAAAGTTCTTTAGTGTCCAAACTTTTCCTTCATTTATTCACTCACTCACATATTAAATAGCTATTTTAAAACAGATTTTATTTTTAACTTTTCATTTTGAAATAATTTCAGACTTACAAAAAGTTGCAAAAATAATACAAAGAATTTCCTTCGTTCTACATCCCCAAATATTAACATCTTACATAATTACAGTCAAATTGTCAAAATCAAGCAATTAACACTGATAAAATACAACGAACTAATCTATAGATTTTATTCAAATTTCGTCAATTGTCCCACTATACGTCTTCTTTTCTGGACCAGGATCAAATCCGGGATCACACACTGCATTTAGCTGTCATGTCTCCTTTGTCTTCAGACAGACATTTGCTCAGTCTATCTTTGACTTTCATGACCACAGAACTTTTGAAAAATACTGGTCAGTTATTTCATAGAATGTCTCTCACTTTGAATTTGTGTATGTTTCCTCAGGATTAAATTCAGGTTATACATTTTGGTGGGAATTCCACAGAAGTGATGCTGTGCCTGTCTCAGTGTATTACATGAGCACATTTTTTTCATCATTTGGTTAAGTAGTGTCTGCTAGGTTTCTCCACTATAAGAATACTATATTCCCTCTTGAAATTAATAAGTATCTCATGACTAAATTAAACATTAGATTATGTAGATATCATTTTTCTCATACTTTCACCCACTAATTTTAGAATCACTGATGATTCCTTATTGTTTTTAAAACAAATATTGAAAATATCACACAAAGTGTATTGTACATAAATTCCTTTCTATTGGACATAACTAAAGCATTGTTTTTATCAGCACAAAAGTTATATAAGTAACCTGACTGCAGGGATCTGAAATGCCAAGCAAAGGTGCTCAGATTCAACCTGACTGGAAATAGGACATCAGTGGAGGTTCTTAAGAAGGGGAACAAGATGGCAAAGAGGTTATTTTAGAAAGATCAATCTCCTCATAGAACATGGGATGGAATGGAAGAGAAACTTGAGGCAAGAAAACTATGCAAAAATCCAGTATTAGTTGCTAAGAGCCTGAAAGGGAAATAACGATGCTAAGGAAAAGAGACAAATGAATATCCATTTATGAAAGTAACAATAATGTTCTACAAAAGCTCTAATTATCATTTCTTTGGTTTACTTAAACCTACAAATACATGTTATTTGTATCTTTCCAATTTTTAATGAAAATCCATTTTCATCCTTTCAGAATAAGCTTATAAAGCTTACTATTTGTGGTAGATGTCTGTTAAAAACCTTTAAAAAGGCAAAACTACCGTTTAGGAATGCCACCTTATCAAAAGCCTTCCTTGACCATGTTATCTGAAATAGCCCTCCCCCAACCCACCACCCACCCTTTTTCACTCTACCTTCTTATGTGCTTTATTACTCTTTATAGCACTTATCACTACCTAATATGTTACATATTTGTTTATTATCTGTCCCCTCCCACTAAATTGAATGGCACTTGAGAAGAGGGATTTTGTTTTGTTCACTGCTTATCCTCAGCACCTAGAACACTCTCTAGTCTGTATTTTCACAGGCCTAAAGTTCTGATATTTAGGCTGTTGAAAATAATAAATACTAAACTTAATAAGCAAACTAATTTTTAAGATATGTGATTGGTAAAGGAAAATTTAAGTTTTACAGGCACACTTACCACTGACAACATGCAATGTATGAGTGACTAACCATCTGTCCAAACTAAATGAAAGGTAGAGATACCCACACTGTGTAAAGGTCAAAATGGTTCAAATCCTGCTGTATAAGGATCTCCAAGTCAAAGAAGTTATGCGTAAGTCCTTACTCTTAGACAAGCCCTATACATCCTTGTTGAGAAAATAGAATGGTTTGGTCAGGACCCTCATCTCGGGTCCAGTTGGGTGTGGTTTGGAACATACTTTGTAAGCAAATTGTGTGTGTGTGTGTGTGTGTGCATGTGTGTGTGTGTGTGTAGTTAGTGCACATGCGTGCCAATCTCGGGTCCAGTTGGGTGTGGTTTGGAACATACTTTGTAAGCAAATTGTGTGTGTGTGTGTGTGTGTGTGTGTGCATGTGTGTGTGTGTGTGTAGTTAGTGCACATGCGTGCCAATGTATCTTTTTAGTTCTGTTGCTATTCTGTGTTCTTCAGAGTTTGTGAAGCAGGCGGGCTGACTACTGCCTCTGGCAGCAGCCGCTGCCTCACATGGCCAAGCTTTCCAACCTACAGCTTCCAAGAACCTGTTTGCCAGTTACCTAGCTCATAGACCTGCGTGTAAGGGGTCTGGTGACCCAGCCTGGCGTGTGAGGGGTCTGGGGACCCAGCCTGGCATGTGAGGGGTTTGTGACCCAGTCTGGAACGGGCTTGAGGGGTCTATAAATTCCAGACCCAGTCCTAGCTCGACAATTGGCCCAATTGGCAGGACTACTGGCAGGTAAAAGACCGCGACCATCCTACTAAAGCAACATGTAGAATTAAAATTCAGATTAAAATCAGACTTAAAGACAACTGTAACAATAGGTTTCCTAGGGAGAGATGTGTGTATTGTATGGTATATATATGAGGGTACTTCAAAAAGTTCATGGAAAAACGAAATTAAAAGATAATACAAATCTTTTCTCCAAATTCTGCTAGATGAGACAACTGCCTCTACTCTATGGAATACTACATTGTCTCAAATTGCCACATTGTCTCAAAACTTGCCCTCAAGCAAAAAAAAACTTAAGACTTCTTCACCAATAGGAAATTTACATTAAAGTTAAATAAAAGCCTCAGTAAATTGATAACCTGTTGGGAAACAATTTATTTCCAAATAGTCCTTATACTGGCAATTTCAACAGAATAAAATTATAAACTTGATTCAGCCAGGAATACACCATTCATATAGATTCTTGAATTATGGAACAAGATAGCAAAGAAATTATTTTAGAAAAATTAACCTCTCGGGCTGGCCCGGTGGCACACTGCTACAGTGCGCCGCTTGGGAGCGCGGAGGCGCTCCCGCCGAGGGTTCGGATCCCACATACAGACCGGTTCCCACTCACTGGCTGAGCGAGGTGCGGGCGCGACGCCGAGGGTTGCGATCCCGTTGCCGGTCCCGGTCCGGTACGGGCGCAACACTGAGGGTTGCGATCCGTTGCCGGACACGAAAAAAGACAAAAAAGGAAGAAAAAAAAAATTAACCTCTCAAGAGTGTACAGGAGGCTTGGAAAGATAAGATAACTCAAGGCATGAAAACTGTTAAAGCTATTTCAAAAACCCATATATGCACTTATAAGGACCTGAATTGGAAATTGGGACAGAAAAAAAAAAAAAAATGGAAGAGCAAAGTTGTGAGGGAACCAACCAAAAGGGAAGGATTTTACAAAGCAAAGAAATTTTTGTTCATTAACTGACTACTTTATCTGTTTCCTACTTCTGGGTTTTTTAAATATTTGGATTTTCGTATAACTTCGTATAATGTATGCTATACGAAGTTATTACGAAATATTTTCTACTATTAAGAGACACATACTCCCACTATGGGAGTATTTGAATACTCAAACACACAAAGAAAATACCTAGAAGGCACATTTGAAAGTTCTTTTCAAGATATATCAAAGGATGGTCTATTAGGTTTCCTGTGGGAAATGAAAATTGATAAATTTTGCTTTCATGTTTTCCAGTAAAAAATGGAATAAATCATTACTAAATCTTGGTAGAAAAGTAGCCTAAAGCTACTAAAAAACAGGCAGACAAAACAAAATACTTCTGGGCCGGACCAGTGGCGCACTGCTACAGTGTGCCGCTTGGGAAGTGCGGTGGCGCTCCCGCCGAGGGTTCGGATCCCACATACAGACCGGCTGCTCACTGGCTGAGCGAGGTGCGGGGGCAACACCAAGGGTTGCGATCCCGTTGCCGGTCCCGGTCCAGTACGGGTGCGACACTGAGGGTTGCGATCCATTGCCGGTCACGAAAAAAAGACAAAAAAAAAAAAAATACTTCTTTTCGAGAATTTCTTTTTCTTAGGAACAACTAAATTTCTATACTAAACTAACAGACAAAAGACTTATTTCATAATTATTCCAAATGCACAGAAGAATATACATCCCAAGTATCAGGAAAGTAATTTCATCTCTGCTACATATGCTCTTAGATTTTCCTCCTCTGTATCTCATCTCCTTCCTGCCTCCATATTAAAGTATAATTTTTCCTTCAGATAGTCCCTCCAAAGTAGAAGGATCTCAGCTAAGAACTGAGAGTCCATGAATGAGCCACTGTTTTGAAAAATAAAACATGCTACATACTCTGAAGAAGATCTGAAGATGAAAAAGGATCAGAAAAATCAATGGAACTTTTAAAAAATGCAATGGTGAATAGCAGGAACAATATACTTGTCCTGCTTTAAATTATCTGCTAAAAGAAATGGTAAAAAGCCAGATAATAAATATAGTATCTAATCGTCACCATGAGCAAAATAACAAAAGAAAGCTCATCCATCCTCTTTCCCAAGCTAAATCCAAATAACTAATTTCTCAAAATTTAATTATTCATATCAAACATAATGTGCATTTCCATAATACATAAGTTTTTAACAATTTATTTTGCCATCTGATCATGCTTTTTTAGCCCATGCGCTGATATCAACAAATTACTATTATTAGTTTGCAGTAATCAACCATGTTAACTGTTTCTATGTATCTGCATATATTACCAACTGGTACTAATTTTCACTAAATTTCCAAATTAACCAAAAATACATTTTTTGCTGACCTTTCAATATGATTATTTACATTTAAAACGAAGACTTAATCATCAACAACAAAATCAATGTTAAAACCAAAAGTTCAGTATGGTTCAATCAAGAAAGGGCTTCATGACCTTTAGTAAACTCTCTTAAAAATAGTTATTCACACTTTTTATGACTTATATGTTAAAAAGCACACATCTCCAATATTAAATTTACTTAAAACTTAACAAAACTTAGTTATACAAAGAGGAAAAAAAACTTACTTGGCCACAAAACTATATCAGGAATTCGCTGAAAGATCCCTTCCCTGAGCAAAAATATCTCATGAAGACAATGACCTGTTTTGTGGTTTAAAAAAGAAAAATGCAAAAACATCTTAAATTATAGGAAACTTTTTAATTAAAAATAAGTGGTGCTAATATAAAGTAGCTTACCATGAGCTCTAAATACTCGATCATCTGCTTCTTGTGAATATGAAATATTAGTTTCCTTAAGGTCACGAAGAAAATCTTCATTTACAACAGAAGGAGGTGTATCACTAGGATTTATGGATGCCTAAAAAATAAAATTGATTTGACTTATTTCTAGAAAATAAATTTTAAATACCTCTGTTAGGGAGAACAACTATAAAATGTAGTTTTTGTTTGTTTGTTTTACATCCAAAGTAAGATAGAAGCATATGAAAATACCAAGCAATACATATAGAAACTAACTTTGTGACAGTAACAAATTACAAATGGTCTGGTTAATCACATTCTATAACATAAGTTATAGAGGCCCTATGTCTGTTTCTGTGGCCCACCTTTCCATTATTTCTAAAGATTGCAATCAAGAACCAGGAAGATAGCAGTCTCAAATCTTTAATTGTAGATTAAGGAGAGTAAGAGAAAGCTTGTTGATTTTTACGTTATCTACATTTTCACCTGTAGATAAAATTTAGCATTTCCTATTTCCAATTACCACTTAAAAATGATCATCAGAAAGCCTCACAATAAGTAATAAACCCATTTTTATAGGGCTGCTTTAAAACTCATGACATAATTATATACTTGATACTCCATTTCAACTAACAGGTAACTTAAAACCTTATCTTCAACTTTAAAGTTAAACCTATGTGACAAGGGCATTCTGGGGACAGGGGTTGGTGAGGCTCATGCTGGAGGGCTTCGCTTCTGCAGCAGAAACAGTGAGGATACTGGTGACCATGAGATCCCTGAACCTGATCAGAACCCCCTTCTTGAGTGGCCTGCTCTAGGCCTTTTGAGCCCCAGGTGCCACAGCCAAGGAGCCTGGGGCCAGCTTCTCCCAACCCAGTAGCATGGGCCTGGACAAGAATACAATGCATGAGGAAAAGAGAGAGAACAGGCACCAGAAATGAGAGAAGGTAAACTGATTAACATAACAGTTGGTGTTTTGAGAGATGATAACAAAAATAATGATGGATACAAAGAAAATGCTGAATTTGTGAAATCACTGCAGTAGCTGTTATTTGGCCTCTCCCAGTTATATGCAAATATAACCCAAGATAATGTGATTGAACACTTTTGGTAATGCAAAATAACTCATTTTCTACTACTGCTGCAGTGTTTTGATAAAAAACCCCTAATAATTTGTTACACTGGAGTGAAAAAGAGAAATCAAGGACATAAAAGATAAGAGAAATGGGACATTGTATAGTCCCTAAGTGCTGTTAAATCTCTTATTGGGCAAGGGCTTGATTAAAGAATCCTTTTATGTAGAGAGCACTAACATTTATTAAGCAAATGTATTTCACAGGGCCTATTTTCCAAAGCCCTGTAGTCTCAGATTTAGCCTAACCTTTTGGAATTACATATAGAAATGTTAATGTTGCAAAAGACAGGAAACTTTCCTCAGGCTAAAGCAATATAGCAAAGTTGCTGGCTGAAGGACAGACAAGTTACTTGATTGATATATAAAATACTGGGAAAATTGTGTATGGAAAAACAGTGTTTGCTAAGATCAAGCTTTTGTTGGTGGATCAACTCAACTTTTTGCAAATTGCACTATGGAATGTCACTTTGCTTGTTTCACTGATGTTACCAGCCTATATTGTTAAACTATATACTTAGCCATAACCCCACCTATGTTCTTTTTCTGTAACTTCCTGGTCTGCAGAATAAATGCAGGGAGAGAACCCCAGTTCATGGTTAATGTCCAAAGGAAGGAATGCCTCTCTCGAGGGTTCCAGGAAATTAACCCCTTCAGGGTCTCTCACTGCTCAGAAGAGATAGACTTTTTTTTTCCTTTTTGTCTTTTTTCGTGACCAGTAACGGGATCGCAACCCTCCGTGTCGCGCCCGTACCGCAACCGGCAACAGGATCGCAACCCTCAGTGTCACGCCCACACCGCGCTCAACCAGTGAGCGGACCGGTCTCTATATGGGATCCGACCCCTCGGCGGGAGCGCCGCCACACTCCCAAGCACCGCACTCTACCGAGTGCGCCACCGGGACGGCCCCAAGAAGAGATAGACTTTGAGTAATCCTTTACATCTCCATCACCCAGGGGAAGAGAGGTGATAAATCCATGTGAGGCAAAGCAACACTTTTAAGAATATTGGATAACTGGAACTGAGTACTCAGTAACTTGGCTACAGAATACTGCTAGTTTCTTGATTTTAATACATGTTACCTGAAAAGTAAGACAAGCTTTGCCAAGTGAACATAGTATTCAGTGACAGTGAGGGAATGAAGTGAATGCCAAATGTTTTCCCTAGTAAGTGCTGTCTCTTCAGGTAAACATGGTCAGTATTCTGTAAAGTTCCCCTGGCCTAAATGACTACTTACTCTGGGCAAGTGGATATTTATTAGGCTCTTTCAGAGCCATAGCATAAAAAGAATGTCAAACATAGAGTTCAGCTGGTCTTAGAGTCTAAGATTCTTTATCCTCTGGCATCTTGGAAATGATATACCACTGGCCTAAGTGATTAACCTTTTTCACAGTATTAGCATTTTTATACAACTACTGCCACATCCTTATACTTTATTTCTTTTCTGTCTTCTTCAACCTGGGAGCGACTTAATTTAAAAGTGTTCTCTACTCCAATCAATAATAAATGTTTTAGCTTTCTTAATATTTGTATTTCACTCGTTTCCAGGATTTTGTTTTCGCAGTTTAGAAACTAGTAGGAATGAAAGGACTTGATACAGCAGGGGTAAAACTACTAGCTGGTCTAGCCTAGGTGGGAGGTGAGAAGAGCATTCATTAAACACAGTGATTAACCTGATAGAAGTTCTACTTAGAAGGAATGTTGTCTAAATTACCGCTTCTATCCTGAATGTGTGAATTCTTTCAAATCAGGAAAGATTAGAAAAGAAAGCCTATGGGCCGGCCCGGTGGTGCACTGGAGAGTGCGCCGCTTGGGAGCGTGGTGGCGCTCCCG